GCATACTCACAAATTATAAAATTGTTCATTGCTATGTAATATGTAAGCAATACATTATATGCATTATATTACACAATTAATTGTTTGTTTTTAGTGACGAATTTGGTCTCATAAACTGGCCAGAATTTGAGCATTTCATTTGGTGCAACACGGTGGACTGCAATATACTCCGTGAAGAAGCATCCTAAGTTCGACGAACCTCTGTTAATTTCAATGTTTGTGTATGGATGGACAGACACATTTAGCTTTGACATAATTACTCCGATAAATGCGTCTTCTGAAGATATGTACCCTGTTGGATGAGATGATATATAATCATAAGCCCTCGTTGCAACATCTTGTGAAAGAATATACAGCGGCCCAGAAGCGTAGACTGGATAATTTTGTTCTGGATATGCTTCATATGAAGTATAATACGGGTTATTCGGATTTCGAATCACGTGGAATTGGGCTCGCGTGTAACCAAGATAAAGACCTGATGTGGGATTCGACTTTATCACTTGTAGTATCATTCTTAAATTAACAAGAACATCATCGTCGGTTTTAATGGCATACTTTACTGTTGAACAGAAGCACTGTGACCACCTAAGGAACATGATTGTTTTCAAAGTCAAGTTTTTGAAATGTTCCACAAAACTGCCTTGGACTAGGTCGTCGTACTCTGCACTTTCTCGATTCAGTCTTTTCTGCAACTGCGCATCCTCGTTAATTCCAATGAGAAATATCACTCGAGCAGATAGTCTATTTAAAAGATCATTGTTAGCCCAAGTCTGCCTCACGGCCGCACGCTGTTCGAAGTTTAGCACTAATGATTCAACACCTACAAGAAACGATGTACCCTGCGTAGTAGAATTACTGCTGCATTTGTTTTTTGGGTTTACCAGGAATATAAAGTCCTCTGGCAAGTGATCGTAGTTTGTCCCGTTTTTCACGTACCGATTTCCGACTTCTTTTATTATCAGGGCTGCATCTGTTGTGTACAACATTCCTTCTTTATACAGTATCCATCTACAAATAAGCATAAGCGACAAACCCACTAAAACATACTTTCCCATTCTAGCAAGGTTACGAGTCTTTGAATAGTGTGCTTGCATATTTACCACGTTGACGTATGGTCTCAGACTGGCAAAGCAGTATATATGTCTATAAAATATAAAACTCCGATCCAGTATGTGTCATTTAATTTGAATATAATAATAAAAGATGTCATCTGTTACCAGTTAATTGTATAAACACGACCCGTGAAATGACGACCCCTAAGGATACTGATTTTCAATTATTCGAAATTATTCGATTTTTTAGTAACTAAATTTAATTTTGAGACATGTTATGAAGGCATATATGAATTTAAATGATTCATCCATCAGACGAGTTTACTTTAAACATAAAATTTAAATACTAATCAAAATGTTAGTTTGACCTTTCAACATTGATGGCGCTATATGTATGTTTTGCTTATACTCCCGCTTTCAAACACTTGCAAAATAAATTTAAAAAAAAGAGAATTTCCCCTCAAATATGAATCCTCTTTCCAGGTTGACTTGCCTCAATGATAACTTGAACCCAAAGATTAATATGACATTTGTTCAATTTTGCTATTGCTACAAACAAATGATTACAAGATTTTTACCAATTTCAATATTTTTGGACCGACATTGTGGATCCAAATCAAAAGGGAATACACCCCTGTCATGGAAATGCAGAATTACCAATAGACACGTCACAAAAACCACATCTAAAGTTCAGGGGATTAAATTTGATATAAAACTTGTTCAATAGTATCTGACAAAGAACAGCGTCGAATTTCCATTAAATTTACTGTCCCTTCAACTTAA